TCTGTCTCAGGGTAAGTTTGTTTCAGAAGAGGCTGAGTAAACCCTGCAGTGAGACATCACACTGGACACCTTGTAGTGGTAGAAGTTTTGACACTAATCTTTTCATGCATAACTCCAGCTCTGGTTGGTCCTAATAAAACCCCATATCTCATATGAGTTAAATATATCAATTTATGCTTGCCAAGCATTTTGATAGTGCAGTGAAGAGCACTACAGGAAAAGAAATCCAAACCAAAACAGAAGGAAATGGGGTTTCTGACCTCAAAGCAGAATTTCAATGAAGTGCAATAAATAAAACCTGAAGTCACACATTGAACAATGAAAATAAAATGAAACATTGAAGAGCTACTCATTAACTGAGGATTTCTTTTCTGCTCATGAAATAAAACATTTGGCTATAGAAAAATATATAGATGTGATTCAATATTTCAGAAGTCTATCATAATTAATGTTATTCAAAAGATTGGCCACCTGAACAAAACAAGAAAATGGCTTGAGTTCAGTCCAAAGTCAATTTTTTGTTTATTCTCACCACCTAAATAAGTCAAGCTTAGTTAAATTTTGAAACAAGTTATTACTTCAAATTTATAGTATTTTCTTTTCAAAATGTGAAATCACATTGCTGTGTCTGCTACAAAATTTGAAAGATATTTATCAGCTGAAGTCTTCATATGGTTTCCTTGTATAGCTTCAATTAACCTGAATTTTTCATTTTTCATATAATGAACTATTTAAGTAAACCTGAATTCACCTGTAGTCCCAGTGGGGGTAGGGAGCACTGTGAGGGGAAAGCTGAACAACCAGCCTGAATCCTGGGTGTTGGAGATTCAGACTCTGAAAGATGAGGGATTTGGTCTTTTAACTTAGTTTTGGATTCACAATATAAATCCATCAATTCATGATAAGGGAATAGTGGTTAAATGAAATGGCTTTGCAATCCAGGATGTTATATTAGATAATCAAAATCAGCCTTTTCAACTTAAAAAAAATCTATTTATATTAGCATTTCATATTTAGCCTAAGTGTTCTGCTCACTCTTAACATTATATATATAGATTATATGGTTATATAGTGAATAGTTACACTTCAAAACAACAGCAGCAGATTGAGATTAATGTAGTTTTATGGAATGAATAAAGAATGCTCTGCTAGAGGTTTTCTGCTGAAAAAATATATATGAAAATGGAAATGCTGGTAAAGTTAGCACATCTCCTGAAAGTTCAGTTCTTTGAGTACTGAGTTTTGGTATATTAGAAGGCAAAAATGAGGAAACTGCCATTAAGATAAATGGGTGGGGAAAGCTAAAGCAGAACAAAATGGGAAAAAAAGAGACACCTAGAGTGAAAGATCTTCAATAGCAATTGGGAAAATCATATCAGTCTAGAGAGAATGTAATATTCAGCTGAAAATCTCACTCTTAACGGGAGGCTGAGAATGGTAGGATATAAGACCTGAAATACTATGAAATCAGAATAATTTGTTTTCTTTCCAAACAAAGGTATTCTCCTAAGGTCAGAGTTGATGTTGGCAGAAAATACTCCAAATGTGAGAACATTAAATACATATTCAAAAATTATTTGAATTCTCATCAGAAACCAGTTAAGTAATTTACTCACTAATCAATGACTTTGACTATTAATTCTGTGTCCTTTCCACTACTTTCAAAGTTGAGCTTGGAGATTTTGGTATTTTTATTATATTTGGATGTTTCTTGATAAAATATCATGTTGTGAATAACTCAATTATATGAAGAAAACCAATGTTGCAGATTGCAAAGTCATATTTTTAAAAAGATAATAGATATAAACCCTCCTAAACAAAAGTACCCATCTGACTTCAATCCCTGATACCAGTCCAACAATCAATCACCAGGGGCATTGGACACCCATAATTAGATTATAAAATCATAACTATAGTAATTTTACGTCTGCTTGCATAATTACATCAGCATGCTAATATCCTTTTAATGGTCTCTAATGATGTAATAAGAAATAATGGAATTTATTTGACAGCTACATAACCATTAACAAAACATATTAAGCATAACTATTACTTCCATAAAGATTCAGGCTGTATCCAAAAGTGACAACTAACATGTTGGATCTTATTTTCAATGTTGAAATATTTCTAATTATGAATTCCCTAAATCTATTCCCACTCATCTGCTTCACAGGGCGAGCAAAGTTTATGCCAATGTGAACTTGACAACAAATCAGCTGCAGAGATGGACTGAATGCTCTGGAAGACAGGCCTGGGGATATCCTGTGAATTGAAGTCTATCCTTAAAGTTGGCAGGATTGTGAAAGACAATTTTATCTTCATAGAATAAGCTGATTACTACCAAGCACCAGCTAATCAAGAGCTAATACAGAGTGCTGGATTCCTATCCATGGCAATTGTTCACTTACTTAACTTCAAAGCACAGGGAAAAACTAAAAATGTAGGCAAGAGGGAAAGATATTTTGCAGAGAAAACTAACTAAAAGCAGTAATTTATTAGTGAAGCAGTTCCTTTAAATTCTCTTTGGTTTTTTTTGTTTCCTTTTTTGTGGATTTTTTTTTTTTTTTTCACAGAAAAGGACTATAAACTGGTATCTGAGAATTTAAAGAAATTTAAAATAACTCACCACTTACCCTCTCTCCTCAGCTCTTGCACTATTCCTATTTGACTTTCTCTATACTCTCAAATTAACCCTGTGATTCTCATAAGCATGTCATTACTCTGAAATCTTTGCAATTATCTAACAAGTCCAAGTCTACACTGTTTCTTTCCAACCATTGTGAATTCTTGGACAGAAAAGACAGAATTGAGAATTCCAGACCAAGCAAATACTCAGGTCAGAGTTAAAGGAGGCTAGTATGACAAATTCTCATCCCTTTTATAACTCTTCTTTCTAACTGAAAGTTTTTCCTACATAACTTCCCCATTTTTACAAAAAATTAAAAAAGAATCTTTAAGGAAAAGGGTACTTTTAGCTGCCAGTGAAATAAAATAAATCACCCATGATGCCTTATCCCAAGTAAGAAGCAGATTTCCTGAGAAATATTTCTTGATATGTCAGTGGTGACTTTGACCTGACGTCAGGTTTTTCATGGAACTCCTCTCCATGAGACCACAGAGAAGCTAACCAGAGTAGTCAAATTTGTACTGTTTTCCACTGATAGTGGTGCAATGTCAAGAAAATAACAAATCCAAAAAGTGTTCACTCTTTTCTTGGCAAGGTCTTTGTCTAAAGCTTCTACTACTGGTTTACCTACTGGTCAGCTCCACCTTCCTTTAGCACTTTATGGGTTTAACCTGAGTCAAAGCATCTCATTCTCTTGAGCAAAAAAAAAAATCAATTATGGATGAATTCTTCATTGATTCGAGATTTAGGCTAAGCCTTACCAGATTTATAGATTTTTTAAAAGGCAAAGACTGATAAAAACATTGTATGGATAGAAACATTGTATGGATGCTCAGTCCTGTTTGGACTTCCTGTAGATCATACCAGAATTTTAAGGTACTGACCATACAAATATTTTCAGTACAGTCATGTGTCTGCATATTAATAGAGGCAAAATATGCAGCTAATTCTGCTCATTAAAAGAAAGGTCCATCACAGCTGGCTATACCGCTGGAAGGATATTTTTATTATTACCATTAAAGAACAAGTCTACAGCCTATCAGCCGCAAAGTGTTGTGATTTATCAAATGATAAAAAATAACCAAAAGAATTCATATTAAAAATTAGAAAGGTAGGTGAAAGTGTTCTTGTACTGTAAATAAATGAAGTTAATGAAGCTGAACCTCCTGATTCAGCAGAGGTATTTTCCATGGGATTTCTCCTTTAAATATGCAGTAAACTTTATCTGCTAGTGTCCAAAGTCAAGGGTACAAAGTCTCCTTACAAGAAAGATAATAGAATATCATATGTTTTTCAATTTATAAACTCAGTATTCATGAAATACAAGCAAAATACATTAATCAAAGCAAACAAAATATGGGAATATTTTCCTTCTCAATAACTAAAGCCAATATGCCTGGTATTTTCCAGGTTTCTGAAAAAATTTTCTCACCAGTAGTCCATTTCTCCATCCAAATATAGAAGGGGTACAATTTTATTGGTTTTTACAATCAAGAATAAACACTTCCACTAAAGACAAAGCATTATCAGTCTATGGTTTTAAAAAGAGTATTAAACAATTAATTCCATTCTGTAAATGAAAATCAAACACTAGTTGATGGCAGCACAGGTGGGGCTGAGACAGATGCTGCACTTCAGCTACCCAGACATCAGCTATTTCCTGCATACCCAAGATGTGACTTCCTTTCACAAAACCCTCCCACAGCTGACCCTTCTTTTCAATTACCTTTACATCAAACTCCTTGTGTTTTATACAGAGAGGATGAAGTTTTGTGAAGTACTTGTTTCTTCCAAAATGCTTTCAGAAAAACCTCAATCTGAAACTCTTTACTAGACATGGCAGATCATAACCTCCTAGTTCATGACATTAACATGCAGAGCATTCATCAGTATGAATCACAGGAGGAAAACCAGTGCTCAGCATAGTTGAACTCCCTGTGACTTGTTAAATAATAGCTGACCAAAAAGCATGACCTAGTGTGCCATGTGCCAGACTCAAAGCCAGGCACCCAAGTTTTATCCATCTCTGATGTCTTTTTTCCCCCTAGCAATGCTGGGTAAAATTACCTTTCAGAAGACTTTCCTTGTCTAGAAACTGTTAAATAAAGTTGGCAATATTTGTATAGCATTTGAAACAGATTATTTTTCCCTATGAAAGAAGTAAAAACATTAATTCTTTATAATTTTCTCAAAATAATTTGTTCCCATGTGTAGGGAATGTTACAAATTTTTTCCCCTCATCAATATTTTTTCCCCTCTTGCCTGCTCTCCTTAATTTTGACAGTAAAGAGCAGATATTTCCTTGTAAGACAAACTATTCAAAAATAATGAGACATCCAATAAAATAAAAAAGGAGAAAATCCCATGTACATACTTGACATCATCGAAGACACTCATCTGCAGCTTCAGGAGATCTGCCACTTCCTTTATTAACTCCAAGCCCTTTTCCACACTCAGGGGGCTGTTGAAAGGGAGCAAGAAAACAGAGCATTAAAAAAATGGAACTCATCAATACTTGAGAGGCTAAAGGTCCCAAAAGAGTTATCACCTTGGCCTCTTTGAGTCTGAAAGCCACCACTAACTGTATTCCTGTCACATAGTGATCGTGATATCAAGGGAATTGGGATCAGGTGCTTCTTCAGGCATGATGAATCACCTGAATTTTCCAGCAATAAGACAAACAATAAGGTGCAAATGGAATTGTTAGGAAGTGTAATGGGCCCATGATGCAGCTACCAGTTCATCTCAGTCCTCAATAAAAAATGTAATAAAGTAAAAGGACAGAAAGAAAGAAAAGGATTGACGAGACAAGGAGGGAAACAAACAATGAAAGTCAAATTGCAGGCTCGGTATCAAATGGACAAGTGAAAAGCATATTTTTAAACTCATTAGATTTTAAAATGAATCTTTGCCCAGTGAAAGGATACAAAATTATTATGGATTTGAAAGTAAACAATGGAGCAAGACACACAGTCTAGAGGATACTGATTAGATACATAGGATTTAGCTTGGTGTGTGCATACACTGCTAACAGAGACCCCTTTAAATCTTTTTAACCTTTGTCAATGCCACATTTACATTTTTTAATTTAGAAAACAGGTTGCAATCAAGCCTAACACAATATGACTGCTATAATTTTAAAAAGCACTTATCCAGATGCAAAATTTGTATTTGCAAAAATTTCAGGTTATTAGAGCTGATACAACTATAAAGATGTATTTAGAGCATTCCATCCCTAATATGCAGATCCTACCTTGCTTAGTTGTTCAGTACTGTGGAACCAAATAAAAAAGTATTAGGAAAGAAAAAAGATACAGAAATGATATAACAGTGTCCAGTGAAAACAACAGAGACAACATTCTCTATCTAAATTGTGATCATAGATTTATTCTCAATATTGTTAAAGCCCCAAAGACCAAAAATTATACCTTACAAGCATATCTAACTTATGCCATGGTAAAGCAGAAACAACTTTCCTGAGATTAACTCACAGGAAAAAAGGTTCTGTACTTGTTCCTCTGAGGATTTAAAATAAGTAGAAGAAGGTGCCAAAAAAGCATGTGGTATTAGACACAGTCTTTTCAACTGGACTAAGATTTTTCTCAAAGCTTTTTTCAAAGGTCACTATTTCTACCTCAGAGTTAAAGCTTTTTTATCGAATTTTACATCATGGTAATTCATTGCCACTATTTTATTTATGGTCTGCAATGAACACTGGGGGTTTGGGTTTTGTTTTTCGCTGGTTTTCTTTTTTGGTTGTGATTTTTTTTTCACTGGTTTCTGCATGCACTGCCCTAAGGGCACCTCTATTTAAATAATGGGATATCTCATGTGGATCTTGGTTAGCATGGAATTGCTCAGCCTCCCTTCATGCTACTAGCCCAAAATGCTCAGGAGACCTCCTGTCACACAACCAGAGGTAGCCCCTCTAGGCACCAGATAAATATAGAGATTTTCTAGATTTCTAAGACAGAAATGTTCTTCTGTGAAAGTAACAAAAGAATCTGATTGATTGTGTAAGGAAAAAAAAGGTACTATAGATTATTCATAAAACTGTTATATTTCAAGGACTGACAGTGGATAGAAACGTGATTATTCTCATCACTGTGAAAGCAAATTGTCATAGTTACTCTGGGGTTTATGTGTTAATTAAATCTTTTCTCCCAAAGAGGCTGGCTTAAATTTTACAGAAATGATTGGTGTCAGCAAGTGGGCTTTTACTGTAATAGCAAGCCTGATGCAGGCAAGGCTGCTGTGTCCATTGGTGCTGCTTTTTAACCAAGGGAGCCTCAACATCCTACTCCCAGCTCACCCCTCCCTACTGCCCTGAAAAAGCATTCCCCAGCTTCAAAAACAAGATATGCTGCAAGAAGCCAATGCAGCAGCAGTAAATGGGGGGTGAAATCAGAGCATTTGAATGCTACAAACCAGCAATAATGCTGGAGAGGAAATGGGTGAGAAAACGGTGCAGGAAGGCCATTGTTTTGCAAACCTGAGCATCCAAGAGCAGTCTTAGTAACTCTCATGCAATATCAAACTCAAAGACAAAGGCTCACAAACTCAGATGCAGTTTGATAGGCTAAAAAATTATCATTCATAATAACACAGGAAAGCTGCAGGATGAGTATTCTATGGTACCAATACTATTGCTGATCCCACAGTCACATTTGAGGATTCCCATTAAGAATGATTACAATCATGATATTTACCAATGCAATTTTTCCAACTTCCCAAGAGTGGAAAATACAATTTAGTACTGTTCATTACAGTTCTATGACAGCTATGTTGTAGGACAGTAGAATATTCCAAACTTTCTCTAAAAATGCCCAGCCATGATTTTCCATGCTCAATTAAAGCTTTGCTTTTGTTTAGTGTTTCATTTTGCTCATTCTTGCATGGTTTGCATAGTGATTGCCTTTAACTTTGTTTACATGGAGAGAACCACACCATTCCCACCAGCACAGTGCTAACCAAACTGACCTTGTAACAGCACTGTTCACCCACATCACCCATCTGACTTCAGGCTTTCACAAGGACAACCTTTCAAACATCACCTGCTCTCCCACCATGACCCTCCCCTCATCCTCAGTGCAAGCACTCAATACTTGTAGAAAAGATGATATTTGTGATCTTGCACATACTGTCCTTAGTATTCAGCCTGCTCAATTCAGTTTCTGTATTAGACAGTGGGGTTTTCAATAGTCAATGTTTTGTCTATTGACTGTGAGGGTTCAACAACTATGGAATTAATTCAATAGGAAGTGTTAGGCAAACCAAGAAAGAAAGACAAAAACAAGTGTTGAGATAAGTGTCTTACAAATAGTGAGACACTCTAGACTGAAGTAGAAAGAAGGCTCTTTAGACAACCCTGACAACTGAAATATTTTATCAAGGCCAAAGACTTGGAGAAAACTTGTGGGTAGTGTTCACACTGCTTTATCTGATCTGTAAAAATGGTCAGTGCAGTTCCCAGTGGGGGATCTGGGAACTCCTTTGGTGCTGGGCCTTTCTGGCACTCCAAGCAGTGCAGTACAGCGCAGAGGGAATCCCTGGGTTGTGGCCCCTCAAATTCCAGGGCCAAGGGAGTTCCAATTCAAAGCATTTTCTTCCAAGAGTGTGTGATAAGGTAGTTCAGAACACCAGTAACAGTGAATCCTTAAGAGAGAAATCACAGTTTAGATAGGCCTCAGAGACACAAAACATAAGCTGGTAAAAAAACAAAAGCACAAAAAGGACCTCTCATGGGTGCTATTCACATTTTCCAAGCTCTCCTGAGGAACCCTTTCTATGTCCAGGAAAACAAATGGTTTCTGCAGTGCCTTTAACACCCTGCTGGATGGCCACTGGAACAGGCTCCCAGGTCACAGCACTCTCAGCAGAGCTCAAGAAGTGTTTGGACAGTATCCTTGGGCACATGGTGTGATTTTCAGGGTGTCCTGAGCAGGGGCAGGAATTGGACTTCTGTGATCCTCATGGGTCCCTTGCCACTCAGGATATCCTATGATTCTATGATCTGATTTTACCACTACTTTTTTTTATTGCCTTGAAAGTTTCTGATCACCTTTAGGCTAGATTTTGGCCTTAGAAAGAGTCAACTGCTGGATGGCAAAGCACCTTTTTACAGATGATACAGATGTTGCCAGCTGACATCTTGAGACAGTGCTTACTTCGGGTTTCCTACCTTTGCTGTCATTCCATTTGCTATAGGTTTATCTTTTGCACCTTCTTTCAAGGTAACTGTAATAACAGCAGCTAAAAGAAAATGTGATACATCTCACTGTTTAAAATAATTCTTTTGAGGTCCTTTTTAAGTTTCCATCTCCAGCTCTCTTGGAAGATGAAAAGAGAGTCAGAAGGTATATAAAATTCATGTATAATGTACTTCCTTCCATTGCTTTATCTTCTAAAACATCTCTACCTGTAAGTGCTACCCTAATTGTTATTTTTTTAGTTGATAGATTAAGACCCTACTGCATCAGTAGCAGAACTCTGGCTCACTCAGATGCCAATTTCTATCTCATATTATTGGTAGAATAACTTTGACACACTAATGACAATAAATAAATAAGTGGGGAGTGAAATATAAATATTTCCTTTGAGGTTTTAAAGATACATAGATTGATAGATAAAGTTTCAAAGTCTTTCAGAGTGTCATCTGCAAAATATTTCACTACTGTTTTTGTTTGATCTCACTTTTCAGGGCAGGGCTCTTGCACCGTTATACCTTCTGGACAATATGGCTTATACCTCTGCTAACAACAGACAACATTATATGGTAGTACTGCATTATCCCTTCAGATGAAATGACTCCCCAGCTCAGTTCAAGACTGATTTCATGATTTAACATCATGACATAGTTGTGAAAACTTCTGAATCCATTTTAATCATGTAAAAAAAAAAAATCATCCAATTGAGATCTACTAGATTAACCTAAAATAATCCTGAGCCAATCAGCTCCCTCTAAGTTCATCAGGAGTTTTGTCTAACACACAAAAAAAACCTCAAAAACCCAAACCAAACCACCAAATCAAAAAAGGCAGGATCTAGCCTATAAAGCTGTTTTATTGAGAGATGAGTCTGAAATGAAAGCACAGGAATAAATATCTCTTAACTTTAATGTGAGCAGCTGAGCACTTTTGAAAATTAGCGCAATCCATTTAAATGCTCAGGAGTGGATTTGGAAACCCAACTTTATGTAATTGTCAAAGTGTCTCCACAAAGTGTACTGGACATTGAATACCAGAAAATTAGATTGTCTGGTGAAAATAAGATTTTGTATCTTCCAGTGTCTAGGTCCCTCCCAGTGAGAAAGCTGAAAACAGAAATATTTTAAGGAACAATCCACTTACAGAGGTAATTTAAATAATAGAACACTGAATGATAATCTTCCTCTGCTATTAAGATTTAACTTTTCAATTTACAAGAAAAATGCAGTGATCAGAAGTAATTTTTAAAATCTGC